AATAACACTTTGACTGTTTGTTTGAGTTGGTGAATTTAACTTCACATCTGCCACCGCCATTAAACCTTTTGAAACACTCACGCTTCTATTTTTCGGAAATGACATTTACTTAGAATAAAAAGATGGACGTATTCGAGTATCTCTTCGAATTGAAGCAGAACAAAGTTTACACACACAAACAAACAAATACATTGACAGAATAGTTCTTTATACAAACAATGGAAAAATGTTATAGAATAGCAGTCTTTGCTGAACCAAAATATTTCCATAAAGCAAAGAAAGTTGTATAACTGAAATGGTGAAAGTTCTTGAAGCAGACAAAAATATAACAACAAAACTGACCGATATTTCTAAAGGTAAGTTTATAATACAATTTTATGTCAAAACTGGCGTACTGTCAATATTTGACGGAGAGAAGTCAGTTTCAAGAAACAACTTACTGACCTGCTGCAAAATCTGCTCGATGGAAGCTGTCGTTATGCCAATCTGAGGAGCCCCAGCAGGTTTCATCGAACGAATCTTCAAAAGAGCATCTTCCGTGAAAAGTGCTATTGGTTTTGTAAACTTCTTTGCTTTCAATTCATCTGGACCGTCTCTGTCACCAGTATATTGTATTTGAACTGTACCAACAGTTGAAATACCACCCATAAAGTCTTCTGAGTCAGCAAATGAATGCCAAGCCAAAAGTTTGAACGGTCTCCATTTGTATATTGAGTTTTTTGACCTCCTGTATGAGTCCATACTTTCACATATGGCATAATAGAACTTTGCATTTCAGGGTTAATGGTTGTTGTGAAGTTGTTGTTAAGTTCATAGCATCTAATGTCAAGTTGTATGACCTCATATCCTCAACTGTAGAATATTCTTCTCTTGGATAATATTGCCATCTATGTTTATATGATATTTAATACCGGGTTGTAGAAACAAGAATATCATTTATATAGGGTGTCCAAAGGTGTGTTTAGCACAAACCTGAATACTGCGAATAGAAATAAACAAGTTACATATATATAAAGTTTATTTAAATATAATCACCATTGATTCAATCACGCGTTCGCAGCGATCGATCCAGGCTTCAAAAGACACGCTTAAATCATCATAAGAAAATTGCTCAAATTGCTCTCTACAAAATTTTCAAGATCATCTGGACTCGCGAATTCGCGTCCTTCAGCTCTCTTTTTAGCGTGCCGAATAAATAAAAGTCAGAGGGTGCAATATCAGGTGAATAAATTGGGTTTGGAACAACTTTGACATTGTTTTCCACCAAGTAATTCATTACCTTATGACTTTTGTGAATGAATTATCAAAATGAATTGCAAACTTTTGTTTTTGTTTTTGGATTTCTCAAACTCATCAAATTGATAATTTGAGTAAGAACATTGTCAATTAGATACTGAGCATTCATCGTATTAGGTTTTTGAAGAATATCAATTGCGATGATGTCATTCACGCCAAAACCGACAACATCATCATTGGTGTGTCAATTTTTTTCTTCGGGAATGTTTGCGGATTTTCATCCTTCGGGATCCACATGATTTTGGCTTCTGTTGCATATGAAACCAAGACTCGTCCCCTGTTACTAAAAGCGAAACTTCTTGGATTGATACGCACCCAATATAGAGAGGAGCTCTTTCGAAGATTGGACTCTAGATTTTTTGAACTGAATTAAGGTTGTGCGGAACCCAACGTGTATACGCTAGTTTGTAGTTCAAATAATTGTGCAGATAATAACTGACTGTTGTACGTGGTATCTTTGTCATCTCCTCTATCCTTCTGAGTGATGCTCTTGGGTCTTCATCTAGCGCTTGAAGAATTGCTTTGATTTTCTTTGATCCGGCGATTTTTTGTCAATTTTTATGATGGGCGCCTTTTTGTTCATGAAGTGATACATCCTAACATGATACGTTACAGTGGAATAGCTAGGAGCATCCATACCGAAGCATTTTACCAATGTCTCGTAGATTTTTTACAGTCTTTGCATTTTTTTGCAAGAGCGAGGATGTTTTCTTTATGATTCATTAAAAAAATGAAAAAAATCCCGCCAAAATTTCCCGCGAAACCGCCTCTTGTCTCAAAATTCATTTTATATCCCGGCATGGCGCCAAAATACAACATACTCATCATATACATATATTCATATTTTTTATTATATATTTATAATCAGCATATATCTCCTTTAATAGTCTCATATAGAGCGCTGTGCTAAACGCACCTTTGGACACCCTATAGTTCGTCTGAAAAGAACAAACATAGTATCTGCATGTTTCATTGCAGTTGTTAAAGCAATATCTGTTCTTGCACCTGGGTCAGCACTTTGGTTTCCAACTTCACCTGCAAAGTCTTTGACAGATATTTGGTGTATAGTGAACATAAGTGGAACTGCAATATATTTGGCAGCTAAAGCATTTGAAATATCTGGGTCCAACATATAGACTGCAAGTCTGCTTTCTATTCTCTTGCATTCAAACTTTTCGCATGTGAACTTAACTGGGTCCAAGCAGTATTGTTGTCTGCTGTTCCTGAGAAGTAGTAGTTTACTTCATTGTTGAAGTTTGAGAAACCAAAGTCTAAGTCAACTTTGTCTTTGCACCATTTTCCAAATGGTATGCTGGCAGCTCCACCAGCTGTATCTGTAAGAGTGAATGGGTCTTTGTGTTGGTGCAATGACTAAGTTATTTTTGCTTGGAGTAGTTCGATAGAAATTTTTCCTGCCCAGTTTGGCAAGTATCTTAAAAACTGAAGATGAGGAAAGATGACAAAGGAACTCTAAGTTTCAGTTTTACTTTGGTTACTGCTGCTGCAGTTTGTCCAGAAAGGTCAACATAAACTCCTGGAACGTTAGGGTCAAGTTTTCTTATTTTCTCAATAGTTGCATACTGGTCTGTTTGTTCTCTAGCTTGTGGTTGTACTGAGTTTCTCAAAGCGAACCATTCATAGTTTGCCCATGTTACTGTTTGAACTAAGTCAGAGTTAGAATATATCTTATATCCCATGAAAACTTCTGGAGCATATTGGTATCCGACATAGAAAATTCATTGCAACCTTTCTTGTCAGACAACTTGACAGAAGGTTTTATTTCAATGTCTTGTTCACGTATAAGAATGAGTTGTCAATAGAAATTATATGAAACCTGTCGCAAGCAATATCTACTGTTGTTGAAGAACCTTCTCCAAACTCACCTACGTTTCCATAAGAAATAGCAGTTGTATATTCGTAAGTTCCAGGAACTATTTCTGACCTTCTAATGGCATTGTCGCATTCGTTATACCATTCGGAAATTTCCGTTCATGGCATCCAAAACTGTTGGCGTTATATTCTGAGCGGCGTACATTTCATATGGGTAAAAATATAGAATAGTTGGATTTATTTGTCATAATAGAACCCACGTGGACCAAGCTTTACTTTCTTCCTGGCTGAGTTTTTAACTCTTCTTTTTCCTTCATTGCCACTACTTTCACTAGATGAAGTTACTTCTTCACTACTTTCACTTTGTTCTACTCTTCTCTTCTTCTTTGGTGTCGCTTTTGGTAACATGCCTCTGCTTCAAGTTGTTGCATCTTTGCATCATGTTCACCTAGTATGTTGTAAATTTCCCATGTCCTTTTTGCCTTTAGGCTCTGGTCGCCCATCTCAGGTATCCTATATCCTAGAAAGATTTCGTCATAGTTTGTATTTGAGTCTTCGCTTATTGTTTGCATGACTCTTTCCTGAGTTTCGGTTCAAGCTCTTCAAACAGAGCTTGTCCATATGGAATAAGCTTGTTTCCAAATATATGTTTTTGTAGCCATTCTGGTTTTCTTTCCATGTTACAATTATATCTTTTGTGAATGGGAAAGCTTTTACCCACGTTTCAGGCTTGGGTCATTTATTTCTGTAGTTGGTTTTATTTTGTCAAGGAACATGTTTTTCAATACTAACATTTCATTTGGTACTGTCCATTTGAGTTTTTTTAAATATTCATCCCTTCTCGGTTCATTGTCTGCAAAGTAAGTTTTTATGACATTTTGCAAACTTTCGTTTGCAAGGTCATGTACAATAGGTTCTCTTCTTCTCTCTCTAACTTCTTTCTAAACTCTTCACCAAATATACCATCTCTATGGTTCTGTGTAGTTCTTTGAGATAAATGTTTTAGAACGTCAGGTGTTATATTTCCATCAGCCATGTTCATTTCATACTGGTTCAAAAATATCTGCATCTTTCATATCTTTCAATGGCATTAAAGCCGCGCTGAAAATACCAGCTAAATCTGGTTACCATTCATTTCCATTGCGTCTACAACATCTTGGAATTGTGGTTGTAAGTTTATGAACCACCTATCCGGGTTAGCTTTATGACCATCTCATTGTAGTTCCATAGTCTGCAGAAACAAAAGTAGGTTTGTTTCCATATTGGCTAGGTTCTGAATGAACTTTAAACAATGTTTCATTTCTATATGTTTTGTTGAAATTTAACCTTTTATTTTCACCGAGTTCATCCAAAGATTGAACGTTATATGGTCGTAAGTAAAAAGGGTTGTTGTATTTGTGTACATTTTCTTTCAGTTCTTCCATTCTATGCTGAATATTTTCATCTGATGTTGGAGTCTTTTGTATGTCGGCAAACATTTTTCGATATTCTTCTACCATGTCAGCCGAATTTTTCTTAGACTCTTGGAAAGATTCCATATTCACCTCATACTCTTGTTGAGGGTCAAGATTTTTCGGCTGTTCCAAATCTTCATCTAGTTCTGTGAAGTTAGTTTCCAAAGGAGGGACTTGTTCGTTCCTTCAGGCTCTTCTAGCTGTTGTTGCTGAACTATTTCTTCCATGTCTGGTTGTATCTGAACTTCTTCCTGTGGAGTTTCTTTGTACCTCATCTGCTGGCATTTCATATATTCCGAGACCGTTTTTAACAAGTTCCCTATCTAAGTCATCCGGACTCATAAACCTTTCTTCTTTCGTTCCGTCTTTATTTTTTACGCGTTTCATGAAGAGAGTTGAATTGTCATTTAGCTCTGACACCAAATATCTCGGAGTAAATTCAGTCATGTCATTTGGATGATATGCTATTAAATCATATCCCTTAGCGAGCTTGTATTTTCCAGGTTTGAAATTATATCCCATTTGGTGCTGAACCATAAAGCTAAATAGGTTCGGGTCAGTATTTCCTTCCTTGAACTTTCTAATAGCTTCTTTATATCTGTCACTAAAGTCAAGAGTATCTGGGTAACCATAGTCTTCTTTAAGCATTTTTAAGAAATCTTGGTTTCCTTGTTCTCTACTTCTTTTATGTCCTTGCTCTGTTTGTGGTTGTTGTTGTGCAGGGTTTTGAACTGTTGGTTGCTGTGCTGGTTGTGGAGGTGGTTGTTGTGCTGGTTGTTGTTGTGGTGCTGGATTTTGAACTGTTGGTTTTGGTGCATGCCTGTGTCTGTGTCCATGTGACGATGTAAATGTTTTAGGTAGTCCTGGTGCAGGTGCTTCTCTTGGAGGGTTTGGTGGTATATAAGTTCCACTAGCTAGTATATAAGTTCCACCAGCTGGTATATAAGTTCCACCAGCTGGCACATATGTTCCATCTGCAGCATAGTGTCCTACCTGACTTTTCGTTTTTAAGAAAGCATTTACTAGGTCTGTTTTGGTCTGTTGTAACTCTTTTTCTTGACTTTCCACAACAGTTGCTCTAACGGCGTCATAGGCACTTTGAACTGCCTGTCTCGTTGCTGCATCTGTTATTTTCGTTATATTTTGTGCTACTTCTTTTAACTCTTTGTCGAAACCTTCAGACTTCAGTTTCTTTCCAGATGAGAAGTCGTTCACTTGTTTCACCTTACTATGAAGAGCTTCGAAGGCATTCTTAAAGTCAGCATTCATTAAAGCTTCATTTGAACTGTCTTCATCCGCTTGTATTTTTGTCCTTATTGACCCTATAAGTTGGGCTGCTTTAGCGTTGGCTTGGGCATCTAACCAGTCATTGTTAGCTTTTATATATTCTGCGCTTTTCATTGCCTTTTGCATGGCTGCGTCGTTATTTTTACTTTCTTGTGCTAAGTTTTCATACTGTACGGTTTGGTTTTGCAACTGTAAAAGTTTTTCTGCCTTTACATTTGCTTCAACTTCTTTTTTATACTCATCGCTATCCATATATGTCTTCAGGGCTTTTTGTTTTATCTCTTCATCTTTCAGTACTTTATATTGAGTAGTATGGTTTTTTCAAATTTACAACATCTTGTTCCATTTTTGCTACTTCTGCTGCTTTTTCTGACACTTTTTTCGCATATTCCTCTGTACTTAGTTCTTTCAGTTGTTCTTCTTTCTTCTTTTTCTCTACGTTTAACTCATTGAGTTTCTTTGTGTGTCTGTCATATTCTAGTTTCTTTTCGTTTTCACTTATTTGCTTCTGTATGTCTATGTTTGACTTTTTGACATCTTATTTGATTTTTGAGTGAACTCAAATTCATTTGACTTTGAGGGTTATAAGCTGTTCCGTCTGCAGCTCCACCATAGCCTGCCATTTTCGCTAAAAGTGCCGCTCTTAAACCTCCACTCTGTGCACCAAGAACTCGGTTTAAGAGCATAGGGTTGCTTGACATTTGTTGCAACATAGTGGGGTCATTCAGCATTTGTTGTTGCAACTGTTGTTGTGGTGTCAGTTTTACTATTGGATGTTTCAATGCTCTCTTCCTCTTACGTATATTCTTACGTAGCTTACGTGGCATTTTAAGTGAAGTTAAAAAGCGTTTTTGACAGATGTTTATATGACACTATTTGTTCAGCACAAAAAACTACTCGGTCAAAGTGTTGTCAGTTTTGTAAAATAACCGTCCTATCTCATTCTATAAGGGGGAAAGTCTTCTCAAAGTATACTTCCTTGGAACGCCCGTAACTTTTCCTGTAGCGACGATAGACCCTTACTTGTCCGGACAAAGTTATACTATTTTGAGTGCTCTACAAAAAAAGTCAACGGCGACGACTCTCAAAAATTTTTTATGGGCTAGAGGGCGCAACGCGCCTGGAGGCCCATCCCAAGAAAAAAAAACTTCAGGGCTAGAGGGCGCAACGCGCCTGGAGGCCCCACTACCTTTTTTTTTTTTTTTTTTTTTTTTTTTTTTTTTTTTTAGTTGTTTATAAATTATATTATATTATCATTTAATATTATTTTGATAATGAAGATTTTATTTTGCAATAATATAAACGAAATTTTTTACCTTATGAACTTTTGATGGAAATATGCAAATTTAAAATAATAAAGAAAGCCGCGAGCGAAGCGATCGGCTTAGGTCTAAGATTTTGATTCAAATCTTTGCTTATATTCCTTAAATTCTTTATGAAACTCGCAACAGTTCCATAAAAAATTTTAAATTCTAAACTGTCGAAATTACCGATCGGTAATCACACCCTTCACGGATGTGTCACTTTTTACAAGCGTGTCACTTTTAGCTAAAATTACCCCTACTCGTTAATCAATTACGTCGTGCTTATCCACAGGATTTGTGGAATGAATACTATCCAGGGCAATCATACAGTTATGAACATAAAACTAGGGAAAGAATTAATATTTTATCAGGTCAATTTTTTGTTCATGATATTTTATTTTCATGTCTCAAAACACAAATTATTTGCCTCAATGGAAGCAAAAGTGATAAATTGCTTGTAGCTCAATCACTTTTTGATTCAAATTCTGGTGGATATGATTTTGGTGGAAACATTTTCCAGAGTAATGGTTCATCTGTTCATTATAGAATTTGCTGCATTAAATCTTCGTATTCCACCGGTCCTGGATATTTAGATTACGCTAGAACAATAAAAGCTGATGTATCATTAAAATGTCTTATTAAAGATTCAACATTTTCACAATGCGGAACATATGTTGGTCCCTTCGTAATTTATGACAATTATAATCATATAATCACTAATACAAATAGCTCGCATAATACTGGCTCATTTGGCAACTGTGCAGGAGCTATAGATGGAATAGATGGAAATCAAGCAAAATTATCTTATTTTACAGCATACGGAAATAGAACACCACAATGGACAATAATTTTATTACAAAATGTAGATGCTTTTCGTAGTAATTTCATCTCAAATTCTGTAAAAAGATATGGAATTGTTCATTGCAATCAACTTTGTTCTATCATTGAATGTATTTTTAACGGTAACTCTGGGCCATATATTTTCAGATTATCGACATCTTCTACAACAATAAGTAAATGCGTAATAGATAATTCGATTCAAAATATCCAAACGACAACTGGAATATGCAGTTATTCTATTGGAACTGTTTCCTCTCTTGACAATAATATTCTTTACAGTTATTGTGCTCAGCCAATTTATGTTTCACTCCAGAAAATTATTATTTCAAAGTATTCCTATACAAAAGGATCAGATACAACAATATCAGCAACATTGTATATAGATATTCTCATTGAATCGCAATTTACACTATACTACTGGATTGATTCTTTATCTCAATCACCCAAATCAATGACAAAATCATCAAATTATCCGTTTACGGTTTCAATTCCTTCAACATTAAAATCCGGATCTCATACACTCAATGCCAAAATTATAGATATTAATAATCATATATCAAATATCGTCTCGGTTTCTTTTTCATTCGCTATTCCATTGGAATTCACGCTTAACAATCTCCAAAAGAATTCGTATAACAAAGCAACAGATTCATCAATTACTATTAGTGGAAGTGGAATGGCAGATTTAGATTATTCAATATCAATAAAATGTCAAATAGATTCTACAACTTTAAATGCAAATTCAAATATTCAGACATCAAAACCAGATAGTACATTCACATTCACTGGAACAGTTAATTTCCCAAGTAATTTTCAAGAAGGTTCTCATACAATTTATGTTTGGATATATTTATCAAATGGTCAATCAACCACAAAACAATCAAAACAATTCAGTTTTGCGAGAAATACCCCAATGATTTCATTATCAACAACACCGAAATCAAAATATACAAGAAATGTTGATACAAGTATTACAATATCAGGAACAGTTTCTGATAAAGATGCAGATGAAATCATAACTGTAAATTCTGCTTTTGATGGAAGTTCTACTATCTCTAAATCAACACAAATCACTGTTAATGATGCAAGCAATCATGCATTTTCTCTCGTTATTTCATTCCAAAATGGTTTTAGTTTAGGATCGCATACGATATCAATTTGGGCTGTTGACAATAATGGCAAATCAACAGCAAAAACAAACTACCCATTTACTTATGTTCCTTCATTATCCATCTCTGTTCACAATCTTGCAAAAGATTCCTATTTTAAGAACATTGATACAATGATGTCAATAACAGGATTAGGTGATGCTGACTTTTCATCATATGACATTTCCATTAAATTCAGTATTGATAACACAGAAGTTCAAGCAACGCCAACCATATCAAAGTCACAGTACTCATACACATTTTCAGCATCTATTTCTATTCCTTCTAAGCTATCTGAATCTAGTCATGAATTACGAGTTTGGGCAACTTCTACAACAGGTTCAACCACTTCGAAAGTCATCAAAACATTTTATTTCTATCATAATTCACCAATGCTTCAAATCTCAACACCAAATGGCAACACATATATTCACAACATTAACAAATCGATGAAGATTGATGGCTGTGTCACAGATATTGATGGTGATGATGTAGTCAAAATTAATGCATATTTTGATGGAAGTAGTATTGTTGCAAATTCAACTACAATTAAAATTCAAAGCAGCAAATCACATTGTTTTAGTCTTTATTGTCCATTCCCACAAACTATGAAGCAAGGCTCTCATAATATTAAACTAACTGCAATTGATCAATTAAGCAAAACAACTTCTGAAACTAGAACATTTTCATTGAAATATAATCAACCAATCTTAGAAATATTAGAAAAACCAACAGATTCTTTGACGATTAAACAATTAAAGCATTTCGACATCAAGCTCTATATAAAAGATATTGATTTTAATTCTAAGATTTCCATTTATTTTAGTTATAACAAAACACAGAATGTTTTGTTAAGTAATGAATCGTTACCAAATGATAGTCCATTAATTAAAAACTACAAATTCCCAATTTATCAAAATTCTACAGCAGGCACATACAAAGTATATCTTCTTGCATACGATCAAGATGGATTAGCCTCTGAATTAAGATCATTCTTAATTACATTAATTAATCCTTCCAACAATTGCTGCGAAGAAAAAGTCAAAAAGAAAAATAAGTCATGGATTAACCTATTCATATTTGTAATTGTAGATCGAGAGATTACTTAAATCCTACTAAATAAAATTCATATATTTGATATGATTTATAATTTTTTCCTCATTTCGAATTTGGCTCATGGAGAGAATACTTCGAGCCGAATTTTGAAACCGGTGCATTAAATAAAAATTACATGATCGATTTTATTTTCCGAGACAAATTTAAATATTGAAATACAGTTCGGTAGTAATGAGAATGGTTTTATTTTGTATCTAACAGTAATTAAAGCCATATTTTTCCAAAAAAAAATTAGAAGATATTTTTCATATTGATTTTATTAAAAATAAACAAAAAACAAAACAAAACAAATAACAAAATATAAAAATGAAATTATGGATTTGCGAGTACATATGTAGCTTTGCCGTAGGCAATAAGTTTAGATTTGTACTGTTGAACTGTGAAGCCACTGTTAGATAGCAAATCAACTGTTTCTTGTGACAAATTAACGTTGTCGACTTTGCCCAATCGTTCGATTGTGTGTGCTGTCTTCATCGTTGGACCAATGACTTCAAATGTTGGTGCACCGTTGTCCAAAACTGCACAAAGAAGAGGACCACCGCTGTGGATACCAATTCGGAATCGCAGACGGTGTGAATTGACATTAGAAACCATTTGTGCAAGCTGAATCATCTTCTTACCAAAGTTAACAACATTCTGTGCAACTTGTTCTGGAGTGCCATCACCTTCAAAGAAACCAGAACCAACAATGTAGTGTTCGCCAAATGCATGAAGTTTCGTCAATGTTGGGAATGATCCTAATTCAGAATCAAACTCTTTCAAAAAGATGTTCAGAACATTAACAGATTGTTTGGCTTGCATTCCACTAGTTGTGTCAGTGAAATTGACTGCAGATGCAACTAATATTGTTGCGTTTTTGACTTCAAATGTCAAATCACGCTTTCCTGAAACTAAAGAAACAGCGATTTGTCGTGGAACTAATGAATAAATCATCTGTTCGATTTTAGACTTCTCATGTGTTAATGTTACATTGTGTGCAACAATTGTAGAACGATCTGTAATGATTAACGCACATGATGTGTTTTTAGTTCCATGTTCTGCACTGGAGATGACTTTAACTGTAACTGGAACTTCTCGTTCGTCATCTGTGAACAATGTTGTGTCAATTAACTGTGAACTAACTAATTCACCGCGTTTGACAAGTTCGATTGCATCGAAAACAGGGTTTTGTGTGTTAGAGATGATCTCACTGATATTACGACCAATTACATCGATTGGTGTGTTGTTGAACATCTCATGATATCTTCTGTTAGTTCCAATAACTGTTCCATCATGAGAAAGAGCAATAATGCCATCAGAAATGAAATCATTGATATGGCTGATGACTTGTACTGCTTTCTGTTTAGTGTTCTGTGCTGTTTTACGGAAAACATGGTCATATTCACCCTGCAAGAATCGAACAACTTGTGGTGACTCACTGACTGATTCGAAATCCATAACAAGGATTGGATCCAAACATGCACGCATTGATGGAGTCAATGAGTATTTGATGAACAAAACACACAAAACAACTTCGATGAAGAAAAGAATGAAACAAAGAAGGATTTCAAATCCATTGTAGACACCGTTTGATCCTGCCATCATAGAGTTGATTGTTGTCATTGATTGGTTGTAGAATTCAAGTGAAAGTGAATTCAATATATCATATGAAATCTCGACGAAATGGATCCACCAGTAACTGTCGTAACTATTAGGCATAGTTCCCATCTTTAATAATCTGTAACAATGAACAAACAAAAAGTAAACAGCTGTTGTATATGTGATGCATGATGAATTAGGAATGTCACCAACAACTAATGATTGGCATCGAGATTCCAACAAATAGTTTTGATAGTTCTTCTGGAAAATAAATCCGTCTTGAAGGTCATCTGTGCCTCCAAAGATCAATTCGTTGTATCGAGTAATCATGGCTGTAACTGCTTCTTTGAAATCTTCTTCCATGGATGTTTTGTTCGGATGCATAAAATCACCAATTAAATCATACGCGTATAAATAAATATATCCTAAATATGAAATCATGTCACTAGAAACTTGCATGGAATCAATGACAAAAGAAGCTTGGTTTGTGTGCGAAATAAATGATGTAACAAATGAAATGATTGGTAACATGATAATGATGAAAGCCATGAGCATAAGAATGATGACATAATGCATTTTCATGTCTGTGAATGAGAGATGGTCTGCATCTTTCTTTTTGTCTGAAAGTGTTGTATCGAATTCTTCGTATTCTTGTGGTAATCCTAAAATGTTTGTAACTGTTTTAGTAGGAACAGTCGAATAAAGAGAAATCAAGAATTTAAATTCATTCTTGATCTCAACAATGATAAATGGTAATGCGATACAAACAATTAAGAAACAAGTGCCAACACCAACAATAACAACAATATAAACATTCCGTTGTGCAGGGATTTTCTCATTATTTATCAAATCTTTCAGTGTTTTGATTTGATTTTGTAATGCTTTAGAAATTGCCGGATAAAAGTAAACGCATTGTTCAATGGATGATGATGGATCTTCTTGTGTTCCAATGTAATTCTCACTCGTCGCTGATAGACTTCGTGCTGAAATTTGGTACAAACGCATTATATCAATATAAGTAAGATTTCGATCGATTGGTTCTTCCGGACTCAAAACAGGTGCTTCGATCTTTGATTCGACCCATGAATGGAGATAAGCCAAAGGAAATGAGTCATAGTTTTGGAATGAGTCGTAAATCAATGTATCGAATTCGTTTGTGAGTGCATTGAGATTAGCACGTTCTGTTGCGAGGTTGAATTCTGGATCTGCATGGACTGTTGCGTTATGTGTTGGAAATGAAAGAGTTGCAAATAAGATTTTGCATGTAACATGTATTAATTTATGGAGATTAGATATTAATAACACTTGATCATCAACTCTGTCAATGTGTTTGTTGGAAATGATATAAACAGCAATTGATAATCCCAAAGAAATGATGGAAATCAATATAGCAACAACAAAAAATCTGATTGGCCAGTACATTGGTCTTGCATTCAGTGCTGATTGTATTCCATGGTCTGTTTTGTCAATATCGATATGTGCTTCTGAAAATTCTGAGATGAAAACAGATGATTTGATTGTAGAAAGCCTGGAGATCTGTGCAATTGACTCTTCATTGTTTTCTGGAAGCTCATCATGAGAATCTTTTAGTTTAAGAAGCCTTTGTTCAGTAGCAGTCGCTGTAATCCTGTTTCCTGATATGTTACGACTGAAATTAACGTATTCTTCGAGGACACAATCAGAAGAAGGGTGTTCAAAAATGAAATTTGCGAATAACTGGTTGATATTATCAATATTGTTGTGGTAAAGAAGGCATTGATGAAGAGCTTCATCGTTGTGATGCCTTAATATCGCATCCCAAAAGTTTCTCAAAGAAATTTTCGGAATTTCATATAATCTTTTGACATCTTCGACTTGTCTTTGAAGCTGGGCCTCATTCGTTGGCAGCCTGTTGAAGATCTGGTAGAATAGAAGGCTGTTGTACGATGAAAGAGGAGCTAAATCGACACAAACTGAAACAAGGTCCAAAATCTCTCTGTACTTCATTTTCAGTAGGTAGAAAATGAAAGCAATAAGTAGCTGAAGGTCTTGGTTGTTCGGCCATCTGTTTATCGTCCAATTCAGTAATGTATGGTTAGAAATGCACGGAGCGTTGTATACGATGCCCAATTTGATGATGGTAATGCACTGTGTTGGATTGTTGATGTTTTCAACAAGGTTCTCGAATTTTGAGTATAATAAATCAATATGAATTTTTGAGAACCTTTGAACGAGAAAAGCAATGATGGCAATGACTATAATGATTGTAAATATGTTAAGGAAGAAGCATAAAATGTTATTCATCTTAACATTTTTGAAAATAATATAATATATGTGAGAAACTATGATTGTAACGTATTCTGCTGATAAAACTACCTTTCCACTAGGATAAACTGTTGTCTCGGAGCTAAGCAATATATAAATACCGATACCAGCTAAAACAATATCAATTCCCAACGCGAGGTATTGTAATTTGGAATCTCTGAAGAGCTCAAGTAAGATCGACATCAAGTACTTAGTATTTGTCCTATAGACCCTTGGAAGAATATTCTGAGGCCAAAAAGAAAATCTATCTACTGTGTCAACATCTGGTGATGATTGGTATATTCTGTCCATGAAATATGATATATAAGCTAAAATAATGAAACAAATCAAGGATACATATGAAAAAGTAGTGTAAGCTTCTTTTGTATGAATAATTGTTTTGACAAAGTACCCTGTAGCTGATCCAGCCCAGATGGTTGTAATGGAAAAGCAGTAAAAACCAATGTAAAGTAGGAAATATACGATAAATGTTGAAAATGACTTCTTTGAAATGTACATAATGCTGAAAATGGCATAAAAAACGAGCCACATCACTACAATGCAACAAAAAACGATAATTATGACTTCATTTGCATGTTTTTCTGAACTACCACTCCATAATGATCCTAATGAAATAAAAAATTTCAGAAAAACATATACTGTATTTGTGTATTTGTTCGAGGATAACATTTCACTTGAAGTGGCATAGAAGCCAATTGCAATGGATTGGATAAATGAGATGATCATCATCGTATATGCCAAAATGATGTAGTTCGATCTCATTCTATTAATAACAGTTGCAAGCCTTTGCTCGATTCTGTTATTATTGTCGAAACCAACCTTCTGGAGAAGGTTTGTTTCACTGGAAACTTGAGATCTACCATCATTCATTTTTTTTTATACACACTGAAAAAACGATTTTGCAAAAATTTAATATTTTAAGAAATTGAAATATTAATCTGAACATGCTATTTGAAAGGTTTAAAGTTAAAATTTTTGTAAAATTTACAATTTGAACGCATTATTTTGTTGTTGTTTTTGTAAACAATTTTTCTCTCAGTGAAGGTGAACTTCGATCGGCGTCACTATCCCAAACTATTGCCTTGGAAGAAAAGAAACAATTTCATCATTACCATTTACGAGAAATGTTCAATCTACAAATGATCATTTGTAATCTCAATAGATAAGCTCTTTAGAGTGAAATGTGTCATATTTCATTGCAGTTCAGTGATTGTTCATTATTTTCTCTCTTAGTAAAGGAACTTTTCAAAATCAAATTTTCGAATTACTTTTCATTACCAGGTGCCTTAAAATAACACTAAAAATTCATTTTAATTAACAAATATTAACATTTATTATTGATTTTACTTGCTTGGGAAAGCTTTGCACCAATTTGACTTGAATTCTTCTAAATCATTATCATTGAGGTCATTCTTCGATTCGAATTCTTCTACATCACCATCTGGATATATTACACCTTTAAGTGTCATTGATTTAGTTCCTATTTCTCTTGTTTCTGTGACGATAATAACTCCTGTTTCTTCGTTACGTTCTGTCTTGATAACATGCTTAAATCCACCTCTCTTTGTAACAGTTCTTGTCTCGCATGTGTAATTATCATCATCATCTATTGGAACTAATTCTTCTGGCTTCTTTTCTATAATTTCCTTTGGTTTTTCTTCAGTTTTCTCTTCTTTTTCATTCTCTTCTAACTTTGGAAGTTCTTCTGAGCTTGAATGCTTAATTGAATGACCTTCAGGCTCTTCTAATCTAGGAATATCTTCAGAGAAAGAATGTGAAATCTTAGGAGATTCAACATGGATTGGGATTTCTTCGGACTTTGCTTCTTCTTCCTTATTTTCTGTTTGTTTTTCTACTTCTTCATGTTTCTCACTTTCGTTTGTATTCTGAGATTCTGTATTTGCTTTCTCATCTACTGTTGTTTCAGCAACAGGAGCTTGGCTTGATTCAACCTTTGGTGATTCTTCTGTCTTTGGCTGTTCTTCCTTTGGAGACTCTACAGTTGTTGATTCATCTTCTTCATCATGCTCTTGAGCCTCAGTAGATTTCTTTTGTGCCTTTGATTTCTTATTCTTCTTGTTATTATGTTTGGCTTCATTAGACTTGACATAGAAGTAGATTTCTGGGACTTCAAAATCCGAGAACATTAGATCTTCTAACATTCTTTGTCTTCTAATTGCTTGTGCAACTTGGAAGAATGTTGGGACTCTTCTATAGTAGAGTGGGTGCTCGAATATATCAAACATCTTTAAAAATGAAGTAATATCATGACAAAATTTTGATGAATTAAAATTCAAAGGAAAACTGGCCGGCCAGATTTTATTGTCAAAAAAATTTAATGGCTAAAAAGCCGGACAAATATTATGCTATTAATGACTGATTGAAGATGAATATTTGCATAAATTGTTCGGCCAATATAATTAAATCGAATACTGCCTGATTATACGTAATTTATAATAAATAACAAAATATATATGCAAAAGTTATTTATTTAAAGGTTAACAATCAATTACAATGATATAAATCATGTTATTAATTCTTTGTGTAGCATTATATGTATCCATCTACAACAATATAGCCATAAATCAAGATGATTTCCAAAAATATAGCATTTTGAATGTGATTCATATGAATTATGAATTAGCATTAGCGCAATCTTCATCAAAGCACTTGAGAAAGTTGAAAATAAAATAAGTATTAAGGATAGAAAATATTTATTCGTAATCAAAATGGCAAATTAATAAAATAAATGATTCTGGATGTAGACATGAGACGAGTTATGACCAAAAATTAGGTTTGTATCTAAAATTGTTGTGGAAAAGGGAAAAATAAAATTTGGAAGCGTCATTTCGAAAATAACAGCAAACAAGGAATAATTTTAGAATGCCTTCCAGTTAAACAATCTAAAATTTGTATGAAATAGTCAAGAAAACCTAAAATTCTGGTGTCAGCAACAAGATTTTTTCCCTTTGTTAGAATTAGTGAGTGAGTTGTCGCCTGTGGAGCTGTTTGTTGCATCCTGTTGCTGTTTCATCTTGTCTGCGAACTCAACTGCTTTAGTAGCAGCAATTTCAAAGACATGGTCGACGCCTTCGCCAGTTTTTGCTGAGCAGAGGCATAAACCGTCATAGTCTTGGCTGTATTTTGATACTATTCCCTCCATTTTAGCTTTTAATTCATCTGTGAGGAGATCAACTTTATTTAAAGCCAAAATTAACGGCGGGCATTCATTGTTCGACTCTATTACGAGTGACTGCCATACATATGTATCTTCAAATGAGGATTCATCATTAACATCACCAACAATGATTGCACAGCTTGCTGAGCGAGTATAAAGAGGAACTAGGCTTTTATATTGCTCTTGTCCAGCTGTATCCCAAACAGTGACGGTGACTTCGCGCTGCATTAGCTTGATTTTCTTTGGTTTTAAGTGAGAACCAATTGTCGTAGCATTTTGAGGATCGAATTTATCATCAACCCACTTACTGCATAGTGATGACTTTCCAACGCCAGAGTTGCCAAGCAAAACAACTTTAACGTCAGTGATTTCCCCCATTTTGTTGAATCTGATGGAAAATTTGTCACTTTTTAGATTTTGGTTTTGAGAGCAAGCTGGTCATTCATTTCGGATAAAGTCGAATCATAAAAAATTCAAATGTTTCTATCGGTGGCGTTATACATCATAGCATTGGGAAATGAATTCAGCATGACTTTCATTTTCTGAAAATTTATCTTCGCAGAAGACATCTTATAATTCTCACTATAATTTACAGGAATGAATACACTCATCCAAATCAATGAGATGATCATATTCTTATGCCATGATATCTATTGTTGGAAAAAAAATTCAATATTGTTCAAAAGACATAGTATTTATACTAATTGATAGTTCTTTATCATGTGAATATTGAAAATGCAAGGTATAGATTCAATATAAGCAAAAATAATATTTATTATTATATATTATGAAGAAATACAGCTGTAACTAACTATATTCACTATTTATTGAAGATTTGCCCACTTTTCGGCGATGTATTTCTCGACTGGCTCGCGAAGCTGCTTGATAACCAATGGGATATCTTTAGCTCCGAAGACGGCACTGCCTGCAACGATGCAGTTAGCACCAGCGGCAGCGGCTGTTTCGATTGTCTTTGGAGAAAGGCCTCCGTCAACTTCGATATCGAGTTGTGGGCATTTCTTACGCAAGGCAGAGACCTTTGGCATCATATCTGCCATGAAGGACTGACCACCAAAGCCTGGCTCTACTGTCATAACAAGAATCATATCAACCTTATCAAGATATGGATAAATTGACTCAATAGGGGTCTTTGGCTTAACGGAAATACCGGCTTTCATTTTTTTAGCATGAATAGCATCGATGAGAGCAGATGCATCCTTTGTAGCCTCAATGTGGAAAGTAAATTGGTCAGCACCGGCTTTGGCCATTGGCTCAATATACTGTTCTGGATACTCGACCATAAGGTGTACATCAAGAAAACTTGTTGTGTGCTTACGAAGTGAAGCAACGACAGGTGCACCGATAGTTAAATTTGGAACGAAGTGATTGTCCATAACATCAACGTGTATCCAGTCAGCACCAGCATCTGTAACAACTTTGCAATCTTGTGCAAGAGTAGCAAAATCTGCCGAAAGAATTGATGGAGCTATGTGAACTTGCATTTATGAAAACTAAAATAAATTGAATGTAAAAAGTTTGAGAAACGACGATGAATTTTTTGTAAGTTATTCTCAATTAAGTGATCGTTTTTCAATAATTGGTGTATAGGCTGAATTATATGTAATTCATATGAAATTTTTGCAAAGAAAGGAAATAAATTTTCCGGAAAAGTTTGAATGAATGAAGGGTGTATTCGTATTTACTGCGTAACATATTGTGCAAAGCTAAAATATTTCATCTTGTGGTATAAGTTGTGCCAAAATCTTTGTAACATTGCATGATTTCAAGAATCATTGATGTAAATTTTGAATACATTTGTTATAGATCCAAGGTGAAGTCATTTTTCTATCCCTGGGATAGACGATACACCCAAAATGTCACCTTTTTTGGGATTCTGTTTTTTTTTAAGGTTCTCGCTGGCGACCCCCCACGTTCGTCGAAAAAAAATTGGTGATTGGGGGGTCGCCAGCAAAAATCAAATTTTTTTCGACGAACGGGGGGTCGCCAGCGAGAACCTTAAAAAAAACCTCTGAAATTTTAAAAAAGAAAAAGTGGTGAAAATCCCCTTGATTCGAACCAATGGACTTTACGATTATACTATGACTCTTACCATTGAACTATGACTCTAAGGGTTCGAAAATTTATTTGGTGATAATATAACTTTAATGAAAAATTAATCAGATCAATTTAGAAATATTTATTTCATAATATTGAATGAATGTATAAATCTAAATAGTATATTATCAAAAAAAAAAATAAAAAATAAAAAAATAAAAATAAAAATAAAAAATTAATAATAATAGTACCATCACCAACAATTAGCAAATTCAAAAGATATATGAATTGCTATCGATCTCTTTCAAACAAACACATAGAAATTTTGATTAAGTATTTCAAATTTTTATATGAGATAAATATTGAACAGATAAAATAAAAAAAAAAAAAAAAAAAAAAAAAAAAAAAAGGTAGTGGGGCTTCCAGGCACTTCGTGCCTTCTAGCCCTGAAGATGTTTAGTATAAATGAAGTTCTTATATACGGGTCTTCCAGGAGCTTTTCACAAATTATATATGTTTTTCATGTTTTGTCAAGATTTCATCGTAAAGACTTTGTCAAGATTTCATCGTAAAGACTTTGTCAAGATTTCATCGTAACGACTTTGTCAAAACTTCATCGTAAAGACTTTGTCAAAACTTCATCGTAAAATCAGACAAAAATAATGTTTAGGGTAGAAGGTTAGATATAACCTCTTTTCTAACCTCTTTTCTACCCTCTTGAATTTGTCAAGATTTCTTCGTAAATGTTTTGTCAAGACTTCTTCGTAAATGTTTTGTCAAGACTTCTTCGTAAATGTTTTGTCAAGACTTCTTCGTAAAATCAGACAAAAATGTTTAGGGTAGAAGGTTAGATATATACCTCTTACCGAATTTTCATGAAATTTACACAAAAATATACTACTAGGGTCATTTACCGAAGAAATCTCAACAAAGTCTTTACGATGAAATCTCAACAAAACATAGACAAGAAAGTTCATGAGAAATTAGATGAAGAAGTCTTAACAAAGTCTTTACGAAGAAATTCATGAAAATTCAAAGGGAGAAAAGAGGTTAGAAAAGAGGTTATATCTAACCTTCTACCCTAAAATATATTTTTGGGTCATTTACACTCATTTACGAAGAAGTCTCAACAAAGTCTTTACGAAGAAGTCACAATAAAACATCTGTCAAAAACCGCTTTTTAACTTCACTTAAAAATGCCACGTAAGCTACGTAAGAATATACGTAAGAGGAAGAGAGCATTGAAACATCAATAGTAAGACTAACACCACAACAAAAATTGCAACAACAAATGCTGAATGACCCCACTATGTTGCAACAAATGTCAAGCAATCCTATGCTTTTAAACCGAGTTGTTGGTGCACAGAGTGGAGGTTTAAGAGCGGCACTTTTAGCGAAAATGGCAGGCTATGGTGGAGCTGCAGACGGAACAGCATTTATAACCCTCAAAGTCAAATGAATTTGAGTTCACTCAAAAATCAAATAACAGATGTCAAAAAGTCAAACATAGACATACAGAAGCAAATAGGTGAAAACGAAAAGAAACTAGAATATGACAGACACACAAAGAAACTCAATGAGTTAAACGTAGAGAAAAGAAGAAAGAAGAACAACTGAAAGAACTAAGTACAGAGGAATATGCGAAAAAAGTGTCAGAAAAAGCAGCAGAAGTAGCAAAAATGGAACAAGATGTCATAAATTTGAAAAACCATACTACTCAATATAAAGTACTGAAAGATGAAGAAATAAAACAAAAAGCCCTGAAGACATATATGGATAGCGATGAGTATAAAAAAGAAGTTGAAGCAAATGTAAAGGCAGAAAAACTTTTACAGTTGCAAAACCAAACCGTACAGTATGAAAACTTAGCACAAGAAAGTAAAATAACGACGCAGCCATGCAAAAGGCAATGAAAAGCGCAGAATATATAAAAGCTAACAATGACTGGTTAGATGCCCAAGCCAACGCTAAAAGCAGCCCAACTCATAGGGTCAATAAGGACAAAAATACAAGCGGATGAAGACAGTTCAAATGAAACTTTAACAAATGCTGACTTTAAGAACGCTTTCGAAGCTCTTCATTGTAAGGTGAAACAAGTGAACGACTTCTCATCTGGAAAGAAACTGAAGTCTGAAGGTTTCGACAAAGAGTTAAAAGAAGTAGCACAAAATATGACGAAAATAACAGATGCAGCAACGAGACAGGCAGTTCAAAGTGCCTATGACGCCGTTAGAGCAACTGTTGTGAAAAGTCAAGAAAAAGAGTTACAACAGACCAAAACAGACCTAGTAAATGCTTTCTTAAAAACGAAAAGTCAGGTAGGACATTACGCTGCAGATGGAACATATGTGCCAGCTGGTGGAACTTATATACCACCAAACCCTCCAAGAGAAGCACCTGCACCAGGACTACCTAGAACATTTACATCGTCACATGGACACAGACACAGGCATGCACAACAACCAGCACAACAACCAACACAACAACCAACACAACAACCAGCACAGCAACCAACAGTTCAAAACCCTGCACAACAACAACCACAAACAGAGCAAGGACATAAAAGAAGTAGAGAACAAGGAAACCAAGAATTCTTAAAAATGCTTAAAGAAGAGTGTGGTTTCCCAGATACTGTTGACTTTAGTGACAGATATAAAGAAGCTATTGGAAAGTTCAAGGATGGAAATACTGACCCGAACCTATTTAGCTTTATGGCTCAGCACCAAAACGGATATAATCTCAAACCTGGAAAATACAAGCTCGCTAAGGGATATGATTTAATAGCATATCATCCAAATGACATGGATGAATTTACTCCGAGATATTTGATGTCAGAGCTAAATGACAATTCAACTTTCGTCATGAAACGCGTAAAAAATAGAGACGGAACGAAAGAACAAAAGCTTATGAATGCGGATGACGTAGATAGGGAAATTGTTGAAAAACGGTCTCGGAATATATGAAATGCCAGCAGATGAGGTACAAGAAACTCCACAGGAAGAAGTTCAGATACAACCAGACATGGAAGAAATAGTTCAGCAACAACAGCTAGAAGAGCCTGAAGGAAACGAACAAGTCACTCCTTTGGAAACTAACTTCACAGAACTAGATGAAGATTTGGAACAGCCGAAAAATCTTGACCCTCAACAAGAGTATGCGGAGAATATGGAATATTTCCAAGAGTCTAAAAAAAATTCGGCTGACATAGTAGAAGAATATCGAAAAATGTTTGCCGACATACAAAAGACTCCAGCACCAGATGAAAATATTCAGCATAGAATGGAAGCACTGAAAGAAAATGTACACAAATACAACAACCCTTTTTACTTACGAGCATTTAACGTTCAATCTTCGGATGAACTCGGTGAAAATAAAAGGTTAAATTTCAAGAAAACATATAGAAATGAACATTGTTTAAAGTTCATTCAGAACCTAACCAAGATGGAAACAAACCTACTTTTGTTTCTGCAGACGATGGAACTACAATGAGATGGGGTCATAAAGCTAATCCGGATAGGTGGTTCATAAACTTACAACCTCAATTCCAAGAAGTTGTAGACGCAATGGAAGTCAATGGTGAACCAGATATAGCTGGTATTTTCAGCGCGGCTTTAATGCCATTGAAAGATATGAAAGATGCAGATATTTTGGACCAGTATGAAATGAACATGGCTGATGGAAATATAAACCTGACGTTCTAGAACATTTATCTCAAAGAACTACACAGAACCATAGAGATGGTATATTTGGTGAAGAGTTTAGAAAGAAAGTTAGGGAGGGAGAAGGAAGAGAACCTATTGTACATGACCTTGCAAACGAAAGTTTACAAAATGTCATAAAAACTTACTTTGCAGACAATGAACTGAGAAGGGATGAATATTTAAGAAAACTCAAATGGACAGTACAGATGAATGTTAGTATTGAAAAATGTTCCTTGACAAAATAAAACCAACTACAGAAATAAACGACGCAAGACTGAAAGATTGGGTAGAAGCTTTCCATTCACAAAAGATATAGTTGGTAACATGGAAAGAAAACCAGAATGGCTACAAAAACATATATTTGGAAACGAGCATATTCCATATGGACAGGCACTGTTTGAAGAGCTTGAACCAGAAAACTCAGGAAAGAGTCATGCAAACAATACGCAAAGACTCAAATACAGACTATGACAAACTCTTCTAGGATATAGGTTACCTGAGATGGGCGACCAGAGCCAAAAGGCAAAAAGGACATGGGAAATTTGCAACATACTAGATGAACATAATGCAAAGATGCAACAAACTTCAAGCAGAGGGCAATGAAGGAAAAAGAAGAGTTAAAAACTCAGTCAGGAAGAAAGTAAAGCTTGGTCCACGTGGGTTCTATTATGACATATAAATCCAACTATTCTATATTTTTACTCATATGAAATGTACGCCGCTCAGAATATAACGCCAACAGTTTTGGATGCTATGAATGGAAATGTTTCCGAATGGTATAACGAATGCGACAATGCCATTAGAAGGTCAGAAATAGTTCCTGGAACTTACGAATATACAACTGCTGTTTCTTATGGAAACGTAGGTGAGTTTGGAGAAGGTTCTTCAACAACAGTAGATATTGCTTGCGACAGGTTTCATATATTTCTATTGACAACTCTTTCTTATACGTGGAACAAGACATTGAAATAAAACCTTCTGCCAAGTTGTCTGACAAGAAAGGTTGCAATGGAATTTTCTATGTCGGATACCAATATGCTCCAGAAGTTTTCATGGGATATAAGATATATTCTAACTCTGACTTAGTTCAAACAGTAACCTGGGCAAACTATGAATGGTTCGCTTTGAGAAACTCAGTACAACCACAAGCTAGAGAACAAACAGACCAGTATGCAACTATTGAGAAAATAAGAAGACTTGACCCTAACGTTCCAGGAGTTTATGTTAACCTTTCTGGACAAACTGCAGCAGCAGTAACCAAAGTAAAACTGAAACTTAGAGTTCCTTTGTCATCTTTCCTCATCTTCAGGTTTTTAAGATACTTGCCAAACTGGGCAGGAAAAATTTCTATCGAACTTACTCCAAGCAAAAATAACTTAGTCATTGCACCAACACAAGACCCATTCACTCTTACAGACGTAAAGGGAGCAAATCAAACGTCATTCGCCGAATTTTGCAAAGACAAAGTTGACTTAGACTTTGGTTTCTCAAACCTCAACACTGAAGTAAACTACTACTTCAATGCTGCTGGAACTGCTTGGGACCCAGTTAAGTTCACATGCGAAAAGTTTGAATGCAAGAGAATAGAAAGCAGACTTGCAGTCTATATGTTTGGACCCAGATATTTCAAATGCTTTAGCTGCCAAATATATTGCAGTTCCACTTATGTTCCCTATACACCAAATATCTGTCAAAGACTTTGCAGGTGAAGTTGGAAACCAAAGTGCTGACCCAGGTGCAAGAACAGATATTGCCTTAACAACTGCAATGAAACATGCAGATACTATGTTTGTACTGTTCAGACGAACTATAAATGACTATTCTTGCTTCTACAACCCTGGTATTAAATACCATATAAACATAGATGGCAAATACTATCCAAGAGAAGAATATTCTACAGTTGAGGATATGAGGTCATACAACTTGACATTAGATGCTATGAACTTTAACAACAACTTCACAACAACCATTAACCCTGAAATGCAAAGTTCTATTATGCCATATGTGAAAGTATGGACTCATACAGGAGCTCAAAACACTCAATATACAAATGGAGACCGTTCAAACTTTTGGCTTGGCATTCCATTTGCTGACTCAGAAGACTTTATGGGTGGTATTTCAACTGTTGGTACAGTTCAAATACAATATACTGGTGACAGAGACGGTCAAATGAATTGAAAGCAAGAAGTTTACAAAACCAATAGCACTTTTCACGGAAGATGCTCTTTTGAAAATTCGTTCGATGAAACCTGCTGGGGCTCCTCAGATTGGTATAACGACAGCTTCCATCGAGCAGATTTTGGCAGCAGGTCAGTAAGTTGTTCTTGAACTGACTTCTCTCCGTCAAATATTGACAGTACGCCAGTTTTGACATAAAATTGTATTATAAACTTACCTTTAGAAATATCGGTCAGTTTTGTTGTTATATTTTTGTCTGCTTCAAGAACTTTCACCATCTCGGTTATACCAACTTTCTTTGCTTTATGAAAATATTTTGGTTCAGCAAAGACTGCTATTCTATAACATTTTCCATTGTTTGTATAAAGAACTACTCTGTCAATGAACTTGTATTGTTTGTGTGTGTAAACTTTGTTTTGCTTCAATTCGAAGAGATACTCAAATACGTCCATCTTTTTATTCTAAGTAAAATGTCATTTCCGAAAAATAGAAGCGTAAGTGTTTCAAAAGGTTTAATGGCGGTGGCAGATGTGAAGTTAAATTCACCAACTCAAACAAACAGTCAAAGTGTTGTTGTCAATGTCAAAGAAAGAGATGTTGAAGTGGGGAAACCATACGAAGACGAAAATGGTATAACAATAGTTCCTGTAAAAGAACAACCAACATATCCTGAAGTTAGCAGAGACTTAAGTTCTGTTGCAGATATTCGAAACGACTACCAACAACTTAAAGACAAACTTAAAACTCAGGAGAAGATTTGTCAGGCTTTGGGTATAATGTTAAACTTGGTTGAGCACAACCCTGTAAAAGTGAACTCATATGTCATTGCACCTCATGAAGTTTTGAAAGAACTATTGAAACTTTTGACAGAGGCAGACGATATAAACATCAAAGAAATAGAGCCTGACATTGCTTGCTGTGGTGTTTCATATAATGTCATTGACAAGATATACGTTATGAAAGGAGGTGAAACGTTGAACTTAAAATATAGTTTCCCAGACGTCATAAAAATATTTGACGACCACAACATTTCATTAAAGTTTGTTTGCTAAGTAAATGGCAGAAGACATAGTGGTTTATACTATTACGACTAAAAACCTGAGTCATATAATTCTATAACAACAAACTTACAAAGTCCTCAAGGACGGTATTGTAAACTAACTTTAAACACAATGACGACTAAAGCCTGTTTTGCTCTTTTGACACCAGAAGACTTTGTTGTTGTGAATGGTAAAAATACTTCTTTGAAGATACTTACTCAGATATACCACCAACAGGTTTTGTTGACTTATTTAATACTTTAAGGACGGATGTAACATGTGCTGCAACTAGAGCAGGTTTCATTATGTTTGGATGTCCGACTGAGTTTACTATAAACGATATGAGCTATAATACAAAACTTATATCTGGTTTTTACTACCAACAGTTTCCTATAACAGGAAAAGGTGTCATACAAGGAATGTCTGTTCCATTGACTTTAAGTACACCTATTTTATATATTGTTTCAAACTTAGGTTCAAAGTGCTATTCGAATGTCGACAGAAACTACTATGACCAAAAAATACTCATGCGTATAAACAACACTTTCTCTGCTGGTTTGCCTATTGTTCATTCGAATGCAGAGTTTTCAGCTTTAGTAAACTCAAACACTTTAGCAAACATAAACTTAACCTTAGTCGACGCAAACTTTGTTCCTGTAAAACTTTTATGTCCTATGTATTTGTCAATGACGGCAGAAAGTTTCGAATTGGAAGATGCAACTGGTGAAAGTATTGTACTACAAGAACAACTTCAACAACAAATAGCTCAAGAACAACAAATGCAACAAATGGAACAAATGCAACAACAAAGTCAAGAATAAAAAAATTTTTTTTTTTATTTATAAAAATGTACAGAATAGACGTTTCAGATTTTTATGACTTCCAAGCCTTCAGAAATATGTGTCCATTTAGAGACTATAACAAAGCAGTCGAGAATTTGAAACGTTTAGTCATTTATGTTGACTCTGCCCCAGAATGTTATGTCATGAAAGAATGGGATGTTGTCTTTAACAAACCAAGAGCGACAATAGTTTCAGAACAAGAATGTAGACAAAAACTTAAGAAAATAAAAGTCGTACAAGTTGGCATGAAGATGTTAGATGCTTGGGATATCTTATTGTCAAAGTTAGAAGATTTTTCAGTTCGAGGTATAAAGTTCTATACACCATCTCCAAACTTCTATTCTATCTTCACTGGATATAAATACGAACAAGTAGAATGGAAAGAAAATGTTATAGAAGCTTGGTTAGACCATGTCAAAGAAATTATATGCAATGGAAACGAAAGAGTCTATGAGTATATCTTATGTTGGTTTGCAAACATCTTACAACATCCAAGTGCTAAAAATGAAACTGCTCTCATCATAATTGGAAAACAAGGAACTGGTAAGAACACTTTCTTTACAGATATTTTGTGCAAACTGTTAGAGGGCTATTCGAACCCTAATATGACAAACTTAGAAAATCTGCGGTAAATTTAACTCTTCAATAGAGAATATGAAACTTATAGTATGTAACGAACTTCAAAGTATAGATACAACAAAAGTTTTGAACTCAGATGCTTTGAAGAGTCTTATAACAGACAAAGTTGGAGTTGTTGAAAGAAATATAAAGACCAAAGAGTTTGTGAAAATGTTGCAAACTTCGTCATGGTTTCAAACAACGCTGTTCCGATGAAGTTAGAAAGTTCTGACAGAAGATATGTAGTTGTCAGAACGTCAGATTCTCATATGCAAGATACAGAATATTTTGACGACTTAGCAGAAACTTTGACACCTAACTTTTACAACCACTTGTTCTCATATTTCATGACATTAGATATTTCTAAGTTCAATCCAAGACAAATTCCACATACCGAAGAAAGACAAACATTGTTAGAAGCAAACAAGAGTGTATATGAACTGTTTATAGATGAGACTAACTTTGAGTGTTTAGATGAAAGGTCTTTGTACGACTCGTATAAACAGTATTGTCAAGAATATGGTTATATGGCAGCTTCTAAACGAACATTCTTGGCAAATGTCAAAAATCTTTTAGATGTTCAGAACGGCGTATATACAAAGAAAAATTTTTCTGAGTAAATTTAAAAAAAATATTTTTTTATCCGATAGAAAAGATGACGAAATATATTTCAGTCAACAAGTACATGACAGAAGTCAAAGAAGAACTAGACCCATTCATATATTTGAATGTTTACTTCTACCATTTTGAAAAGTCTACATTTGACAAAGTTTGGAACATCGAACCCGTTAAGTTTGCTATTGTGACTAAAAATGGTGCGAAATTTGAAGACTTAGACATAGAAGGTTTGTTAACAGTCAAGGAAAATTTTGACAGAAGGTTTTCAAACCTTAAAGAAGGCAAAGCATACAAACTTGTTATACCTTATGAACCAAAGAAAGCAGACGACTATGAATATTATGAGTCTAAGATAGTTGAAGTTCAAGGTAAATTAGGTAAAAAGATTTTAGAGTCTAAGCCAGTGTTTGCCCCTAAAGAGGAAGAGAACATTGACATTGACCCAGAAATGTTCTAAAAATAAAATTTTATTTTACATGTCAAATTTCTTCTTCTCTGGCTCTGGTTCAGGTTCTTTCTTCTCTTCTTCTACTTTCTTTTCTTTCTTTTCTCTCTTCTTCTTCTTTTCTGGTGGAGTTATGTCAAATTTCTCAGAACCATATTTATGTAAAAGTTCTTTGTCCTTTAATAGCTCTTCTATTCTGTTTTCTATTTCATCTTCAAGAACAGCGCATGTGTCTTCTTTGCATTCTAAGAACTTTTGTTGGACTTCATCTTTCCAATCGGCGTCATCTCTGTCAACAAGTCTGTCATTGACAAATTTTAAGACTGCTCTTTGTAATGTTTTATGGTTCTTGTCATATTCCCAGAAACAGAACTTTAGAACAAATTCACCTTTCTTGTTTACACTATGTAAGATTTTATGGTCGACAGATGTTTTGCTGTCAAAAAGCTTGTCTCGAATATAGATAGCGAAATCGCTAGACATTTTCTAAAAGATAAAAATTTTAATTTTTCTAAAAATATGTTAGAAAAAAAGTTTGCTGACATTGACAAGAAATTTGAGAATGTTTTAAACAAGAACAAGAGGAAGTTAGAAAATGCTCAGATAAAACCTATACATGACAAGTTCTTATTTGCTCAGAATGGTATAACAGGTCTAATTGCACCACCTGGGTCGGGTAAGACTTTCACTTATCTTAAAATGGCTGCACAACAACAAGAACTAGATGAGAAGAACCCATTCTATGAGTTAGTTGTCATTTGTAGTACTTCGGGTCAATTTGACCAAACCGTCAATTCGTTCAAAGATATTATAAAGAAGTCTAAGTTAGTATGTATAAAAGACTCTGAGTTGTTAGATTGGATAAAGAAGTACCAAAGAAGAGTTTTGAAGTACAATGCTATAAATGAGTATATAAATTCTAAGTTTAAAGACCCAAATGAGGAAATGCAGAGAATATAGAGAAGAAACACTTCAGAAACAAACAGAAAGAGATAGAATACATTTCGAAGAAATTGCAATCTTACGATTGGAAGACTTACCCTCATAGATGTCTTCTTATCTTAGATGACTTTGCTTCTCATCCTTTGTTAAAGAACAGAGAACAAGACATGTGTCGAATTCTCAGAAGCTCAGACACTTTAACATTTCAGTTGTCATTTGTGTACAGACAGCAAAGAGTTTAAGTAAGGATGTTAAAAGAATACTTACTGATATCATACTTTTCCCTGGATTGTCCGAAGACGATTTCATGGAACTTATGAAAGAGTCCATGGCAGGTAAGTTTGACAGACATGAACTATGGGAGAAGTACAAAGTCATACAAGACCCTCATACTTCTTTCAGAATTCACATCTACGCGAACAAAGTTCAAATTGTAAAAAGTCAAGCTTGAAAATAAAGAGTTTGAGTCTTAGTCTGTTGTGGTGCTGGGGCTGTCGGTTCTTCTGGCTTTGGAAGACATTCAGGAAGAGGAACGTCGGACATTCGTTTGTGTCTTAACCGTCTTTGTTCTGAAACAATATAATATTGTACTTATTCAGTACAATATTGTCTTGAAAAAGTACAACATTGTTCTGAAAAAGTACAACATTGTTCTGAAAAAGTACAACATTGTTCTGAAAAAGTTCAAGACTTGTTCTGAAAAAGTACAGCTGTACTCAAATTTGAGAGACATTGTACTGAATTTATACAACATTGTTCTGAAAAAGTACAATATTGTACTGAATTTATACAACATTGTCTTGAAAAAGTACAACATTGTTCTGAAAAAGTACAACATTGTTCTGAAAAAGTTCAAGACTTGTTCTGAAAAAGTACAGCTGTACTCAAATTTGAGAGACATTGTACTGAATTTATACAACATTGTTCTGAAAAAGTACAATATGTACTGAATTTATACAACATTGTCTTGAAAAAGTACAATATTGTACTGAATTTATACAACATTGTCTTGAAAAAGTACAATATTGTCTTGAAAAAGTACAATATTGTCTTGAAAAAGTACAACATTGTCTTGAAAAAGTACAACATTGTTCTGAAAAAGTACAACATTGTTCTGAAAAAGTTCAAGACTTGTTCTGAAAAAGTACAGCTGTACTCAAATTTGAGAGACATTGTACTGAATTTATACAACATTGTTCTGAAAAAGTACAATATTGTACTGAATTTATACAACATTGTCTTGAAAAAGTACAATATTGTACTGAATTTATACAACATTGTCTTGAAAAAGTACAATATTGTACTGACTCAGTATGGAGCTTGACCCCTTAGACGAAGCAATTTATCTAATTGAAATTAACGAGCTTGTTAAAGACTTCCTCAGGCAGAATGTAAAAGTCAAGCTTGAAAAATAAATGGTTCATTTACTCTGCTTGTTTGAAGTTGTCAAAATACTCTGTTATTTTTTCCTTCAGTAGCGGCAAATCTTCTTTGAAGGTAAGTATTGTACAACCTTTCATATCATAGTGTGTTTGAGGTAACGTATCTTGAACTATCTTGTTAACATCTTCATTTGGTGTCATTGAAATCGGTAAGTTTTCGCGATAGAACCAATTTCTGTCAGATTTGTAAATCTTAGCAAGGTCGTAAAAGCTTTTGTTGTTTCTTCTGACTAAATGCAACATAACCATATCTCTGTCTTCTTCATTTTCCATCTCTTCAGTGTAAATCATATACTTATAGTTCTTTTCCTTTCCTTTTGGTACCGAACGTGGTATTCTTTTCTGTATGTTTTTGTCTTTTGCTTCAAGCTTGTTTTCCATCTCTTCACGTTCTTGTCTATGAATTTCGTCAAGAAGTTTACAAACATACCATGAATAGCGAGCTGAAGCCCATTGTGCCACATTATTTACGAGAAGTCTATGTACATAATATCCTCTCAAACCAGGAGCCAAATTCTTGCGATTTTCGTACGGAATCTCTATCCTCGGTTTTTCGAGGGTAGCAATCTTATGCCATTTTACTCAGATTTTTGTGCTGAATTCAATAAAAATATATTTTAGGGTAGATGGTTAGATCTAACCTGTCTTCTACCCTCTTTTCTACCCCAGTTATTTTATAAGCGTTTTACATGGTAAACGTTATTTTTACATGTATTTTTCAGCAACTTCGTCAAATAATTTTATAGCTTTATCTATCTCATCTACTTCAAACGTTTCTTTACCTTTTATGGGAGCACCATACATTTTCTCAAACTTTTCAAGTAGTTCTGTTTCAGCAGCTCTCATATCGTTAACTAACACAACCTTGACTCTATTGACTGTACTGTCATATCTTAGAGTTATATTATATGTCCTTCCTATCTTATATCTTTTTGTGTTGAAGTCCTTCGGTTTCTGAACGATGTAAAGTAAGCCTTCCACTGCAACGTTCTGAGTCGAATAAACCATATGTTATGAAGTTATATCCAACAACTGGGTCAATCCATAACAAAACTATTGGTATAAGACTTTTGTCTATAAGATATGCTGTAGTTCCATAGAATCTTACCGATATCATAAGCTCAGGATTTCTTGTCAAAATTTTCTGAGTAGAAGCAATTCTAACCCAGTCTTTGCTTTCTTTCCAGATGGAGAATAAAATGTCTGACAAAGAATATTTGTTGTATTTCTTTGAGTATCTTACGTTTAAATCACCTATTCTAACCACTTTGGTGTCATTGTCTATCTTTCCAACTGTTTCAAACTCATTGTTTGACATTTCTTTCTTTAAGTCAGCATAGTCGTTTCTCATACGTTCTATCTCTTTGACGGAGTAGTTATATTTCCTCATTGCTGCTTTACATTTAGAACATTGTGGGTTCATTTTTGCGTTATATTCTGAAATCTTACCTGCTAGTATGACTAAGGCGTCAATGGTTTTCTTTAACTCAAAAGTTGCGGGTCTTATTTGTTCATTCCATATCTTACCTCTTCTATCTTTATCTCTTATCTGCCATACACATTTTGCAACTAACGAAACAAAGTTGTCGTAGGTCTTAAACTCCCCAGATTTGTATATGTCAGAGATGTTCTTATATACCATGTCGCAATCTTTGTCCATGACTTTGTGGTTGCAATGAAATCCAAGAAACTCATAGTTAACCTTACGTATGAACTTCTTTATTTCTACTGAGTCAGTTGCTTTGACTTCTATTTCATCGAATTCTGGAATAGTGAGTTTTTGTTGTTGGATTTCAGGCAATTTGGGTAAATGGTCAATAATATCCTGCATTTCATAAAGATACTGTTCATTTGTTTCATCTTTCGCACTAACAGTCTAAATTACTTGTTAAAAGTTCTTGCTTTATCTTCTGGATTTCTGTTTCGAAAGTATATGAAGAAGGAATGAAGCTTTTCATCTCTACTAACATTGAAGTTGGGTTCATGACTAACGAGTTTGGTGCTGTTGTTGCTAACATGTTCTTACAATAAAAATAAAAAAATATTTTTTTAAAAAAACCAACTTTATTTTTTATTTCGGGAAAACTCATGACAAATTCAAGAGGGTAGAAAAGAGGTTAGAAAAGAGGTTATATCTAACCTTCTACCCTAAAATATATTTTTGCCGAATTCATGAGTTTTGGTTGAAAGAATACGGTGGAGCCAAAAGTGGCTCGACCTCAAAACAAGCATTTTCTGTATAAAATTCATGAAAATTCAAGAGGGTAGAAAAGAGGTTAGAAAAGAGGTTATATCTAACCTTCTACCCTAAAATATATTTTTCAATACTTTTTCAGCACAAAACATATACGATGAAATCTATCTCCTGTGTTGTTGTCTAAATGTCATGTTGTCACACTTTTTCAGAGAAGTTAAAATGACCGAGGGACCGAGGGACCTGGTGACGTAGTGACACCTAAAACCATCTAACCTAAACATCTCATTTTTCAATACTTTTTCAGCACTTT